GGTCATTATGCACATGCATTCACATGCGCACGCGTGCAATGCTAAAATTTGAATGAACTTGGTACACTTCTGGGTAAACGTTGTTAAAATCTCAAATGCATAGAGCTTGTCTTATTTAATGAAGCTTACAGGGAATATGGCACCAAAAGGGACTTTGGGAGCGTTTGGGGAACATCTGTAACGGTCCCCGTTACAATTAGCACTAGTTAAGGTCTTCCGTTTCCAACGGAAGACCTTATTGTTTTCGTTCGGTTTCTTTTTCCCTATTATTATTTTTTTTCTTACCGATTTTTGTGCACGCGAGTTCTCGGAAACGGCTTGGTCGATTTTCACGAAACTTTCAGATCTGATAGATATTGATCTGAACCTTATTGGAAATTTTTTATAAGTACGTCGTCACTTCCGGTCGTGAGATATGGACGATTTACTGATTTTAAGAGGGTCGGCTTGTCCAGATAACTCCTCCTAAACGACTTAAGATATTGAGTCAAGATTATCAGTGAAAGTAAAGGAAGGTTTGTTGAGTTGTATATGCGTGTCCAAATTTTTCTAGCGCAAAAGGTACCGGAGCTTGGTCGGGCCAGAAAAATGTCTCAGAAACATCTCACAAAATTTGACACCTTTTGTTTCATATCGTCTTACCTGTTCACAATTTGTTAAAACATATTGAAGAGAAGTTAAGCAGAATGTTAAGAGCTTTCATATTATATCAAGAAAAGGGGTCTGATTCCTCAAATTAGGGTCTCAGAAGGGCCAAAAGTCCTGTATTGATATCTCTTTAATGAACAATATTTTGTTATAAATTACTGAGGCAAAAATGTTTATCTTTACGATCTGCAACAATATTTTGAACAATTGTGATCATTGTTACGTAATTAGGGGTCATAAGGGGAAAAAATGCTAAATCTTTGATTCTTTATATCTCCAAAGGGAGAAATATTTTGATAAGCAGTATTGAATAAAAGAATGTTCAGAATCGTATTCTAAAAAATATACAACCATTTAATTTTCGAAAAAAGGCCCCATTAAGGGTTGACCCTCAAATATTTCTGCTCGAAAACGAGAAGAAATTCTGAAAAGTTGTTTGAACAAAAAGTATTTAAAATCCATAGCCTCATCATTTCATATGAAGAAAAAGGGGCTGACCTTTCAAATAAAGGGCCTAGAGGGGCCAACAGACTTTCATCTATAGACGTCTATAGACGTCTGATGATATATAAATCAAACAAAATAAATCAAATTAGGGAGTCTTGATATCATCATGTCTTAACAAAGATCATAGTGAAAATATCAAAAATTCGGACGGAAGACCTACTCGTTGCTCGCAACGAGATCGTTTCTAGTTATTATTATTTTTCTTCTTCCTGGGAAAATTTTGTCCACGAGTGATCTTGTATACTACACATCCGATTAAGGTAAAATGTTTTTAGGGTCAGTAGACATGTTATGTAGATTTGCCGAACGAAGGTCATTTTGCGCGCACGTGCTTGCAAGAGCGCGCACGTGCAACACATGAAATGACCAATATAATGGATATTGCTATAACTTTTCTTTTTCTTGATGAATTTTTTTGAAACTCATAATGTAAGGATACATTAGTAGTATAGACAAGACGGCATGGTCAAAATAGCAAGATCTCACGCGCATGCACGTGCGCTTTGCTCTGATTGGCTGAAACTAAAGTCTCAATATCTTTCTTGTTTCTTCTCATAATCTTTCGAAATTTTGAATATAGTCCTGCATTATGAAGATCTACAGCATGATATATAAGAATTTTATGAAGGCATGCGCATGCGCGCGTGCTGCAATCTGATTGGCTGAAACTTTAAATGGCTATATCTCCTTTGTTTTTTGACGAAATGCTTTGAAATTTAAAACATAGTCATGCAGTAGGGTATCCTACAATATGATATAGAAAAAAAATCAGGAAATCACGCGCATGCACGTGTGCTGCAACCTGATTGGCTGAAACTTTAAATGGCTATATCTCTTTTGTTTTTTGACGAAATGTTTCGAATTTTATAATATAATCATTCATTTAAATATCCTTCAATACGATAAAGATAAAAATTTATGAAATCACGCGCATGCATGTGTGCTGTAATCTGATTGGCTGAAAATTCAAATGGCTATAACTCCCTTGTTTTTCAACCAAACAAGATTGGATTTAGAACATAGATAAATATAAGGGACCCCTACAAGAAGGTGTAGTCATTATGCATGTGCTTGCGTGTGCGTGCACGTGAAATGAGTAAAATTAAAAATACACTCGAATGAGTGTATTTTTTAATACTTTTGGATTAAATGCTTTGATATTAAGTATATTAAAATTTGAAATAGTTTAGACAAGATAATATGGTCGTTACGCACATGAACACGCGTGCAATGCCTATTTTTAAATATATTTTGTATTTTTCTGGGAAGACCTTGATTAAGTCTAAATTCCATAAAGTATTTCTTATCTAATAGAGATTACAGGGTATATGGCACCAAAAGGGAGTTGGGGAGCGTTTGGGGAACATCTGTAACGGTCCCCGTTACAATTAGCACTAGTTTATATTTCTCATACAATTTAAGGAATTCAGCACATTTCAGGAAGTTTTCGAAATTTGACTTTTGTGGGGGCAAATATATGCAATATACCGCATATAGTTCTTTTCAAACTTCTCCTTCGGCTTAGGTTCCGGTGGTGACAAAGATACAGACGCAGAAAAGTTACAAATTAGAACTTTGGAGGAGGCTTTTCAGCGAATTCGCGAGGCGACAGGCGAAGACAGCATTGACGTCATTGTCAAAAATTTCATCCGGCGAGAAAACGAAAATTTTGCTCTCTTCAAATACGTCAACGAAATCAGTGACGAGGTGGAGCTATTGCAGGACGACATCCACTCCATGCAGAAGGAAATTAAGCAGTTTGAGAAAGACGACATCAAAAACGAGGGTGTTCGCGCTCAAATGCTTAAAGATCTGGAGGTAGGCAAACTCTCAACACTTACATTTTTTTGAAATTGAAATATAATTTTTCTTTACGAAGCGTACACATTAACCTTAATTGAAGATTTTCCGAGAATCGATCATCTTATATATTTTTTTCCCTCTTTTTATCAGTTTATTGCATGATTATTTGCAGGAAAAGAGCGAAAAAATTCGGGCCCAAAAGGAAGCTGCCGAAAAGAAGAATGTTCTGGTGAACAAAGTTTTAGACGAGCTGCGGAGTGGGGTGGGGCAGCTGTTCCGAGCCATCCAGTGTGACTCGTCTGTCATCAAGGACATGCTCGGGAGTGACGACAGAGTCACTAACAAAAACATTCTACAGTACATGGGCATCATAGAACAGAAGACCATGGAGCTCCTGCAGGCCCAGCAGTACCTCCATATGAAGGTCAGTGCCAAGAAATAACGAAGTATTTTACACTATGTGTACAAATGAAATTAAATAATAGTTACATCATGCGCGGATCTAGAGGGGGGTCGGGGGGGTCAGGACCCCCCATGGAATTTATCAGGTTAAAAAATGTATATACTAAAACAAAAAAAAAGTTACCATGGACCCCCCCTGGAAAACGCTGACCCCCCCCCCCCTGGTAAACGCGAATATGTGTGAAATGGGTATGAAAAGTGAAAAATTTGAGGCAATAGAAAATAGAAGTCACCACTACCCCCCCACCCCCCACCCCAAAATAGAATAGAATATAGAATAGAATATTTATTCAACCAATTTGGGCCCACAGTGGAGCATACAGAACAGTGTCCAAAATCATCACAGTTATACATATACAAAACAGAACAAAACAAACATTGTATAATGAACAGAGAGTTAGCTATTTTCTTTTAGGATGTATAGAATGTACATTATAAGTTGCCTATGTATAATATCTGCAATATGCCTATATTGAACTATGTTGTTTTCTCTTATTAAAATTTGCATTTAAAAGTTGGCATAATAAAACAACAAACACAGAATTTTCATTTGACATAATCCATGTAAACAGGTCAACATTGTTAAGCAATATCAAATTAGGAAAGGTTTTAAAGATTTTATCTAAAAACTCTCTTCTTGAGTCATTATAAAGTGGACATTCTAGCAAAAAATGCAATTCATCCTCAGTTGGACTTGAGGTGCAGTAATGACAGACTCTCTCACACCTGGGAAGAATTTCATTTTTACCACATTTATTAAGTTTTCTTAGTTTTTTGACGTTTGGTCGACTTTATTTTTTTTTTTTTTTTGGCTTGTCAAGAAATTTCTGGGAATGGATTTTTTTTTGACTGGGGTGGACCCCCCCCCCCCCCTGGAAAAAATTTCTGGATCCGCGCTTGTACATGTACTTGTATAAAAATGTATATGTGATTGTGAATCCATTTTTATTCAAGTACATGTATTAACTATCGATTAACTGACATTACATGTATCCAGACTATGTTAAGCTACCCTACAATTGTGGACATTTGTGGTGGGATAAATAACGTGCGTTCTAGTTACCCATGACATTAACTGTAACTTATGCCTTTGAACAGATAACATTTGACATCTTATCTATTTGCAGCTGAATCCGCCAAAACAGGAAAAGAAAGGTGAACCCACACCCCCAGTGAACGCGCAAGCCCTGAAATTGGACCTAACGCCTGTTGTATCTATACAGCCCCCTACCGCAGGGTAAGGATCCGCTCAATAATTCATCGTCGGAAACCCACGGTCGGTCTCGAGACCGACGGTTTCCGACGATCGATCGATGAATAATTCTAACAGGCCCAACAGTTCTAAATTCCGCATCTTATTTGTGGTAAATAATATTAATTCATTGGTCTTTTTACAGTGATGATGATGAAGTGTTTGATTATGTGGAGGAGTTGGACCTTCGACCTTTGACCCAGGAAGAACTTCGGAGAGCCATTATTAACAAAGTCACCCGGAAATCAACTTGTATGCGTCTGTACAATCAAACTCCAATTCGCCGTTCTCGATCTCCAAGAACACAATAATTAAATACAGTTTTATACTGTTCATATCTTTCTTTTTCTGTAATTTAGGGAACCCTTTTTTGAGAAACAACCAAAGAAAAATCTTCTTTTTTTTTTTCTTACAGTAGCGCATAGAAACTAAATGTAATTTTGCGCTTTATAAATTAACAACTATAATTTCATTGAGACGTGAATTCTTGGGACAGTCACCTTGCCCTACTCTATCATTACGAAAAAAAAACGTGTTTATTGGTCATCTAATTACTTAGTCTTGCTCAACCCCCCCCCCAAAAAAAAAACAAAAAAAAAAAACAACGAAAATTGGTGCAGGTTCAACGAAAAATAAAACCACAGTAGCAAATCTGAGGTTACGATACATGCAGTAAGGTCCTGGATGGCACAAGCAAATTTTATCGCATACGAAAATATAACAAAAAGTTCTTATCTTTTTCAGATCATATTTAATAACAACACAAAAATACTGGATAGTTACCTAAATTTATTTACATTAAATATCTTCAGAAATAAATTAAATCAAATTATTTGTATCTTCATTATTGCTGAGATAATTTTTCTCATGATTGCGCCCACAAATATGAAAACTAGGTAAGTTTTGTATTGGTGAAAGTGCATGCACTAGTCCATCTTAAGCTTAATTTGCACTCCATTAAAGTCAGGAATAAATGTGCAACATCTTTAACAATTGTCCAAATTTTGTTCTTGATTTCCCCCCATGAATTTAGACGGCTAACGGTTTGGATGACTTGACTCTCTCGCCGTACAAATCCAGTTCCGTCTCTTTTTGGTCCAGCCAATCCTCGTAAGTATCGCCCGCACGAGTTTTGCCCAGGGACCGGAGGTAGGCCCTCAGGGCCCCGGGGCCTCGTTCAGCGAGGGGCATGTCGTCCTTCTGACGCTGAAATTCCACTTTCTTTTTCTCCACTTCCCTTTGAGCTAGCCACGTCTCATACGACTGAGATTTTTCGGCCTCCAAGCGTTTTCTGTGAAAGTATTTTACATATATCTTACTTAATTCAAGTTCAATATAGTTATTCATTTATCCTCAAGTTATTTCAAGTATTCTTTAAAAATATATTACGGGAAAAGTTGCAAGAAAATTTCTAAAACAACAATCCATGTATTAGCAGGACATATGACGTCTATCGTTATTATAAAAGCCAGTGATCATCGCTCTGTAGCATTACGACTAAAGATACATGCACATCCAACTGTCTATGGAAAAAAAAACTTTGCCAAAATGATTGTGATTGCAAAAGCGTTAAAGAAATGCGGACAGATATGTATACATCGTTAATATTTGTCCCATTCCTGTATATATAGTTTGTTTCTATAAAGTGACTACGGATAGACAAACATACCTTCTCAGCTCGGGGTCACTGAATTACAACATACAAATATCAATTTATGTTCAAATATGAAACGTATTTCGCCTTCACCTTTAAACAAGTTACTGGCAGTTAGCATTGAATTTCAAACCCTCGTTATTTTGTTCAATAAGCGGTCAACATTGGACAATCTTCACCATACAAAAAAGATTAAATGGTACAATACACTGAACACGACATATTGTATAATAGACACGAAAAAATAGAGGACGGCTACAAAAGAGACGGGTGAGTATAACTGAGGAAAGAGAGAGGGACAAAACCACGTACCTCTCCAAACTTGAGCGGCGTGAAATGAAGGAATTGAGATCTTACTCACTTTTTAAAATGCGACAAATATGAACACGTACTTGAGAACCGTAAGAATCAGATAATTCATTACAAAAAGTCCAATGGCTTGGCATTTTTTAAAATATGTAGATAGAAAAATTAATGGAAAACAACAGATTCATGCAAATACAATATCTGCAGTTATTAATTAAACATTTGCACAGAATTTCGAACTTCTGAAATCATGGATTCATTAAAGCCGGTTCCTAGCAAAGGTCATTGCTTAAACAGTATTGGATGAGTATTACTTGTTTTCAACAAAGAAAGAGAGCCTATTTCATTATACCCCATCGACACCCCCCCCCCCCTCTTCATTTTCTGGTTTTATGCAAAAAAGGTATGAGGCATATCATTTAACTTGGAACAAAAGACAATTGTACTAGTATGTCCCTTGGGCAAATCTTAAGTTAGGAGGCCACTTGTGCACAGTTAAGGTCAAATCTGTGAATATTAGAATTACCGTGGTATGTGGGCTTTGCATATTTTTTTAGCTTCTGGAATAGGGAAAAGTACCATGTGTTATGTGTTAATAAACAATCACTACATTTGAAACACACAAGGTAAGATTCAGTCTTTTTTAAGGAAAAGGGGAATACATGTATTTAAAAAAAAAACCTTTTTTCTTCATATTCTTAGTAACAAAGCTATGTATATCATATAATCAACTTTATGATTTCTTGTTAACTAAGATGTATAATGTTAAAATTTTGAAATAAGAAGATGGAAAAATAAGTTTTATACATGCAAATCTACATGTATTAAATAAGATTGATTCTAAAAAAAAAAAAAGTAATATACATGTACTTGAGTTTAGGTAATACATTGTACAAACAATTTTCCAGCTTTTTATGGAAGGGAATTACCGCCAAAAGTCTATGTATCTTGCTTTTATTCTTATTCTGCCTACTTCTTTATGCTTTGTTATTATTGTAATTATATGTCACTTTATTGTTTTCATATTCGTCTTTATTACATTTCACTTTGACTTTTATCCTTCTTCATTTTGACCTTACTTCTATGTTGCTTTATTCGTGTGAATTCATTTTACTTTCTTTTAAATTGATACAATTTCTAAAATGATTATAACTATTACGAACGTTAACTCAATCACGCAAACAATGAAGCATATTCAATGAAGACGAATACAAGTTGTCCGAATTTAGTGCCGCATTATAACGCTAGGTGGCAGAGGTGTTCGCTAAAAGTGTTGGTAAACTTAGGTAAGCAAACCCGGGCCGGGGTTATTCGAGTTTTTTTTTCAATTTTATAAATCAAACTTTAATTTTTAAAAGACTGATGTTTGTTAAAAGTCCAGGTATGTACCCGATACATGCCTTCCCTCGGAAGTCTCGCTAGATGGTAAGATTTCCCTTGGAAGACTG